AATCATTTTTTAGCATGATTTCCTAGGTTTGTACAAGCATGCAATTATCCAAGAGAATTAAATCCCTTTGTATTTTTTAAGATTGCAGATGAAGAGTCAAAGAAAAGGACGAAGCCTTTGCGAGTTAAAAAGCTTTATGTGCTATCAGCCTTACTTATGGAACAGTGTCATGAACAAATGCAAAATGCACAAAGGGGAAAAGTTAAAGAGAAGAGTTCAGAGGTAATGTCTTTTTTTTTCCCCTTTCTGAATTCTGGTATCTGCTAGCTAGTCAGAATAAAGCAAGCCATCTTCATGGGAGCCTATAATGTTTTTTTAATAACCTTTTTCCCTGCTAAGAACAAAGCTTTCCTTCGAGCAAGTCCCCCATGAAAACATATTGTTTTAGGTATTATTTTAAAACATTTCAATCGTATGTTTTAGTAGATATTTTGCTTCCTAAGTTTAACATGGTTTTCTTAATATTTTCACTTTAACAATGAAAACCATACTAAGAAACTTCCTGCAAGACTCTTGTGTCATTTAGGAGTAAGAATTGATCCCAAAGGGTGATCTGTGATTAGATTAAGCTATGTTGCCTGTAATTCAGCAGGGAGATGGCTCCAGATACAGGGGAAGCAAATGGAAGAATTTTTTTTTTCTCTGCCTACATGTTCATCTTCATATCCACAAATGAAATAGTTTAAACAATTTTTTAAGACCTCTGGTGTTGAAATGCAGTATTAATCCAAACTGTGAACCAGTCTGCAGATGTGCACAAAATGTATTTGTATACACACGTATATGATATTTATCTTTGAAAATCTGCACCAGATGTTGTGCCTGTGCTCTGTACAGAACGCCTGACAATGCTCACTGTAGGTCCATTTGTATTTTGCCTACTTAGCACGGATGGTGGTGTAATCACCAAGTATAGAAAAGCTCTTTTCATATATCCCCATTTCCTGCTGTATCTGTTTCATGTAAAAATTACTTGTGATACTGGTTTGTTTTCAGAGTGCTTCAGCTTTGGCTGGTTTGCTGGAAGAAGATGTTCTTTCTTCAACGAATCGCTTTGCAGACAATGCCTGGCGAGGAGCTGAGGCTTACCACTTCTTCATACTTGCACAAAAACAGCTCTATAAAGGTTCTGTAGATGCAGCACTTAAAACAGGTAAAAATTAATTTTCAACCCTGTAAAGACAGCACATGTCTTCATTTATAGCTGCCACATTTTTCAGTTCTTAATAAATCCGTGGAGTTTAAAACAAAACCATATGATGAATTGAATATGGCTGCAGTCACAATACCTAAAAGGACTCCACTGAAGAAAATGCAAATCTTTCCAAATATTACCTGGTAAATTGGTTAATCTCTGTAGGTGTTCTGCTGACTGTTTTGTTTCTCTCCCTAAATTATAAGGCATGCCTGAATTTACATCAGACCTCCTTGTAGAGCTTCACAGAAAATCTGTGGGAATTAAGAAAAACAAATAGCACCTTGTACTCTGTCCAAGTAATGAAGATTTCAAATCTTTCTAATATTTTTAGAACCAACCAACCAAAATAAAGTGTTTCAAGAAGACACCAATTTCCAAGTGAAATCTGCTAGTTTGTTTTTTAGAGCAATGCTTCAGTAATGTCAATAAAGAGACTGTGGTTCATTTTGTCCTATTTTTAGAATTAATACTCTTGTCTAGTAGTAACTATTTCATACAGATGCTTGCACTTCTAAGAAGATGTGTAATAATTTCCTTGGATTTCTTTTTTTCATTTTTTGTAGCTCTTCATTTGCGAGATTATGAAGACATAATCCCTGCAGTTGAAATCTATTCCCTTTTGGCACTCTGTGCGTGTGCAAACAGAGCATTTGATACTTGTTCAAAAGCCTTTGTTAAATTAGAATCCTTGGACACTCTTCAGCCAGAGCAGAGGCAACAATATGAAGAGCTTGCTCTAGAGATATTCACAAGATATAGACCAAAGTATAACAAAACATCTGATCTGGATGATGTTCTTGAGAGGTGGGTTTATTTTTATATGATACTATAATAATACTGTCACTTTTTTCTGCTGTTCGCTGTGTTTTCGGTTTTAGCAGTTTTGTGTGTGACCAAATTAATTAAGTGGTTTGCTGCTTAAACCAGATATTGGTCAAGAATGAGGCAGGAGTTAGCCAGTTTGGAGGAAGGTAATACAGCACTGTGTTGTTTGGCAAAAAATAGACACTGACTGCATTTGAGGATCTGGGCATAAAGATGTAACTTCATCTCAATTTGAAATGCAAGTAGACAAAGCACAGGAGTTTTAGTTTGAGACAGTGTCATGTGACATTAAAGAATGTTACTGTTTGCATCTCCATGGTGGAGTGCTGAAAGTATCAACAAGGGACTGTTTAAACATTATTAACAAGCAGGTCTCCAGTGTTTTGTGAATTACCTAAATCTACTTGGTGTGAAAAGAGCAATATGTGAAGTTAATGTGAAGGGCACATTTAAGGGGTAAGTCCTTGGAGTCGCTGTACCCACAACAGTGTGTTTGACGTTTCCTGCTGAGAGCATGGAACTTGTAAATATGGAAATCAATTTTCTTTTAGCAAACAGGATTTTAACCTGTCTTGATTGATCCTACTGTGCAGCTGTACAGAATCTCAGTAGCAGCTGTGATTCTGTTGACCCTTCAGATGTCAGAGGACAGAGTATAATAGCAGTGCAGGTGTCTAATCAGGCCTTACTTTTATATGGCCTTCACTGCTTCTTTTCACCCCATCTTTTGGATCTGCTGGTCCTGATTTGTGACTGTATGGTTCTGGGGGTGGGCATTCTCTGGTGTGAAGATTTATATACTTGGTTACAGGAACAGTGAAGTGTTACATGAGCTAATAACTTCTAATTAACAACTGGCCCACCGTGTTTTTATTCTTTCAGCTTTACTCTTTTTTTTTGTAGTGGAGATGGTAAACTTCCTGTATGTGTTGCAACAGGAGCCCCTATCCTGGAGTATCAGTTCTGGATGTGCAGTGTGTGTAAGCATTGCATGAAAGCCAAAGAAGCAGGCCATTATAATGCCTGTCCTCTGTGCCACAGCACAGTAAGCTGAGGATAAAGACTCTGTATCTGCATTTATGACTGCTAAGAACAGTCTCTAAAATGTTACTATCTTTTGAAATACAACTCAGGTACTGTATTGTAGCAGTTAGTGCTGCTATTAGAGAAAGATTAAAAAAAAAAGCAAAACCAAAACAGAAAACCCATAAGAGAAACCTTTGCTGCTTCCATTTAGCTGAAGAAATTACCATGTAAATAGATCCCATTTTTTTTCTACGCTTTTTAAAAAAGATTTAAGGTGAAAGCATTCTTTCTGAATTGTAGATTGAGCCTAGTTTCAAAACCATGTGAGTTGAATGTAGGCTCACATTAATATGTTCTACTCTGAGCAGGCTCAATTTTTTTGTCTAATTCCATAGGAAATTACTGGGTTTTCTCAGAATTCACAATTTTTTGAGGGAAGTGATTCCTGAGTTGAAATAACGTCACAATAATTTTGATAATATTACCATATATGTTTTTGTACTACTGTTTAGAGTTACTAGAGTGATGGTACCAGTATAAGCATACATTAGTGCTGGTTTCTTTTACTAAGTGTATTTAAACCCACCATAAAATAAAGGGCTTGAAAACATGCAGTAGTCAGTGTGTCACTTGGGTTCCTGAGCTTGGGTGATGTCATCTTCAACAGCTTAAGGAAACCGCCATGAACTTGCAACCTGGAACCTGGCACTTTCCATGTAGCTTGGGACAGCAGCCTGCATCTGTTGAACAGACTTCAGGAGCTGAATTGTCACCCTTGTTACATACTAAGGTCCAAGGAAAAATGTTTCGGAGTCCCACCTTACTGCTGGTTTGTGCTCTGGCAGTGCTGCAGGGCCTTGAGCATGGAGTGACCTGTGCCCAGGGCCAGCACCTGGCTGCCTGACAAGAGCTGTGACATTCACATTGTGCCTTGGCACGTTTGAGAGGAGAGCAGAGGAGCTCTTCTGTCTCTCACCTACGCTTAGGCCAGGTAGGGATAAGCCCCATCTCCATAGAATCACAGAGCAGTAGAACAGCCTGGGTTGGAAGGGACCTTAAAGACCATCTTGCTTTAAACCTGCTGACAAGGGCTGTGACACCTTCCACTAGGCCAGGTAACACAAAGCCCATCCAACCTGTTCTTGAGTATTTCCACGGATGGGGCATCTACAGCTTCTCTGGGCAACCTGTTCCAGCATCTCACCACCCTCACAGTAAAGAATTCCTTCCTTATGTTTAACCTAAACCTTCTCTCCTTCATCTTAAAGCCATTCTCCCTTCTCCTATTGCTTTATGCCCTTGTAAACTGACCCTTTCCAGCTCTCTTAGAGCCCCGTTAGGTACTGGGAGGTGCTCTGAGGTTCCCACCAAGCCCTCTCCAGGCCGGACACCCCCATCTCTCCCAGCCTGTCTCCCCAGGAGAGGTGCTCCAGCTCTCTGATCGTCTTGCTCTCCTCCTCTGGCCTCGCTCCAGCGGCTCCACATCGTGCCTGCGCTGCGGCCCCGAGCTGGACGCTGAACTGCGGGTGGGGGCTCGGGAGAGCGGAGCAGCGGAGCAGAGGGCTCCGTGGCCCGGTGGTGTTACCGACACTATTGCCGTATTGCTGTGCTCTGTGGGTAGCTTTCCCCGGCCCAGCACCTTGTAAACGGGTAAAAAAAAGAGGCAATTTACAAGGGCATAAAGGGATAGGAGAAGGGAGAATGGCTTTAAGATGAAGGTGAGGTTTAGGTTAAACACCGTCTCTCCGTGGCCCTGCTGTTGTTAGTGACACTATTGCCGTGTTTCTGTGCTCTGTGGGCAGCTCCTTCCGGCCCAGCACATTCTCTACGCAGCCCGCTGTTTTCATTGTGATTACTGCCGTATTGCTGCGCTCTGTGGGCAGCTCCTGCTCTGTGGGCAGCTCTCCCCGGCCCAGCGCCCTCTCTGACGTGCCGCGCGCGCTGGCGTGCCCGTGACGTCACCGCGATGGCGGGGGAGGCGGCGGCGCTGCTGGCGGCGGCGCGGGCGGAGCTGCGGGAGCGGCGGCTCTCGGCGGCCGAGGAGCTCTTCAGCCGCTTCATCGCCCGCAGCCCCGCGGGGTAACGCCGGGGCCGGGAGCGGGGCGGGCGCGCCGGGCCGGGCCCCGCTAACGCCGCTCCCTCTGTCCCCGCAGTGCCAGCAGCGATCTCGCCACGGCGCTCAACGACCGCGGGCAGGTGCGGTACCTGCGAGTGGAGTTCGCCGCCGCCGTGCGGGACTTCACGGCCGCCATCGAGTGCCAGCCCGGCTTCGAGGTGCCCTACTACAACCGCGGGCTGGTGCGCTACCGGCTGGGTACGAGCCGGGCACGGCAGGGCCGGGCAGCACGGGCGGGACGAGGGCGGGCATCGCTGCAGGGCCGGCGCCACACGCGGTGACAGCAGTGACAGCGCCTGCCTGCCCCCCGTGTGCGCTTACACCCCTCTTGCAGGCTGTGCTGCTGTCTTTGGAAACGGTGCTGCTTCGTGAAGAATGGGAGGAAAGGTGTAGTTGACTTGTGGAGAAATTTGCGCTGGAGTGAAACAAGCCAGTTCCACATACTGCCATTAAACCTGACCTAAAGCATCTCCCAAGCACCTGTAGCACAGCCTTCTCCACTTCCAGTGGGCTGCTGGCCACCTCTGGGGAGTTTCCTGCCCCGTTTTTGGATGCCATCCCAAAAATTACAGCCCTGTGCCTTCTGTTAGAGCTTGGCCATATCAGAGGTCGAGGCACTGGAGAATGGAGTGGGCACCAGCTGGGGCACCAGCTGGAAGCTCTGCCTGTGTGCCAGCTTTAGGGCAGCCTCATTATTGGTGTGTGCCATTTGTCCCCTCCTCTTGGGAACAAACTGGCTGAACTGAGCCTTAAGTGCATTTGAGTCCATTCCTGATGTGAAACTCTTTGACTCCCAGTTGGGCCTGTGGAGAATCCAAACGCCTCGGGTCCAGGAAGCAGCGGCTGCTTTGTGGGTGAAAGTGTTGGAGGTGTTCTTGAGTTGTCAGAGGTTTGTGAGCATGAGCAGTTACAGAAAGATAATTTTACTTTTCCTTTTTTTTGTCTTTTTTGGGACAGGAGACTTTGATGAGGCCATGAAAGATTTCAGGACAGTATTAGAGTTAAACCCCCAATTTGAAGATGCTGCATTGAGTCTAAAACAGGCTATGCTTGATAAAGAAGAAAAAGAGAAGCGGGGTTATTGAAAATTCAGGTTTTGATGTGATGTGAAAATATTCCACTAAACGTGATTTTTGTCATTGATGGGTGAAGCACAAGATCATTTACAGCTCTTATGTCCTGCTGAAGAACTTCATTCTTAGGTAAATAAGTTAAAAATTGATTATGATTGCAAAATAACCTGGATTTGGGATTTTTATTCTTGAGGGAAGGTGTAATGTTGATCTCTGTGAGACACGTGTACAGATTTTGTACAGAAATGCTTTGTAATTCTATTATAAATGTACTGGCCAGATTAATTGGAAATAAAAATGGACATGTACTTTTTATCTCATGATTGTCTGCAGAGTTTACCATAGAAAATATTCACAGGAGGAATTGTGGCTTTCTCTTCCTTATTAAAGAGATCAATTCCCTGAAAAATGCAGTGTGAAATCCATCTGATGGAGCTGGCTGTGAACACCCAGGCTGCTTCGTTTCTCACAGGGTAGGAGGGACCATTACTGAAATCTGTAAATCATCAGCAAGGAACACCCTTGCAAGTTCATAGCAACACAATTTCTAATAAAAGAAATACTCTCTGATTGTTGACATGAGCATTAGGATTTTGTTTTTTAAATTACGCCAGTGACATTTCTGCTTCTTATGGCAAGTTCCTCCATGCATGAGCTGGGAGCTTGCAGAAGCACAGAGCTCACTGAACATGGTGGGACCACTGGGGTGAGTGGTGAGAGCAGACTGGAGCCTCTGGACATCATTCCCAGCTGCCTCACCAAGATCACTTTCTGTGTGGGGATGAAACTGCAGCAGCCACAACGAGCAAATTTGAAACAGGGCTGAGACAATGCTGCATTTACCTCTCCTGCTCTTGACATTTGACTGCAGCCATTTGAAGTTACAGAAATAAGATACGTAGTACCAGGATGTGACCATTCACAGTTTGAGAAATAGGCAATGCCCATTTTTCCCCCTCAGAAATCTTAATTTTGGACTTGATATATTAAGCACATGCTTTGCTACCATTTGTCTGGGTGTTCTGTCTCTAAAACAACACAGATAATTCAATGACTTGATACTCTTCATGCCACCTCAGTCTTAAAAAATCCTACCAACTCCTGACTGACGGTGAGAAGGTGAGCTAGAACTAGACATGTTCCTGAGTGACTTGACAAGACAAAAAAGCAGTAATGAACAATTGGATGTGACTTAGGAAGTTTTACTGTGAGAAGAGAGATCACAGATGTGATTTTGCACAGAACACTTAAAATGACAGGATCAAAATACTAACAGTGAACAAGCATTTTAGAAAACAAAGATGCTAGAGATAATATTCCAGCTTGTGTTGTTTTGTGAACGTTGCTTAATTACTTCTCATGCAATTGCTGGCACAGAAATACTGCACAGGGCTGGGGAGCAATTGCCAATTCTCCACAGTATTTCCTTGTTTCTCCTGTGAAAGGATGAACTGTCATCATGCATTTCAGCTTAATCTGGAATTCTTTCAAGGTAATTTTGGCCAGTAGGGTTTTCACATTTTCCTCTTTCACGTGCACACAAGTCACTTAGCTCTCTGGCTTTCAGGTTTTCAGCCTGAAATTATTAAATAGCCCTGCTGGTTTCAGCTGGGGTAGAGTTAGTTTTCTTCACAGTGGCTGGAATGGGGCTGTATTTTGGATTTGTGCTGAACACAGGGCTGATAATATGGAAATGTTTTTGTTATTGCTGAGCCGGGCTCACACAGAGCTGCGGCCTTTTCTGATTTTTGTACTGTCATGGTGGGGAGGAAGTTGGGGTTGCCTGGGAGCATGGGAGGAGACACAGCCAGGACAGGTGATCAGGGCATAATGTTCAGTATATAAAATGTATAAAAAACCCCCAAAACTTGAAGAGGAGGATGTACTTAGTAACTCCCCTTGTCCTGCAAAGTTTCCTGTTATAAAAGTTTAAGAATTAAAAGCCTAATGGAGAGTAATAAAATTCTTTTGTGTAATGTTTTGTGAAATTCAGGCAACCTCTCAGCCTGTAAAAGGAGCAGGGTTGTGTGCTTTGGGTGCTTTGCAATGTGAGGTGCTACAGCTTTATACCTTCACTGGGCTTTAGGGTTTGTCTCTGCATGAGAATTCCACACCTCTGTGGAGCTCCTGGGTCAGTCCTGCCCGTTCCATTGCCCTTGTCAAAGTCATGGGGTTGCCCCCGTAAGTCACACAGATGGTTGCTGCTAATGCACTGTGACTCTCTTTACTCTGGCCAGAAATATTTCAGACGTGAATAATTCTCAGCTGCTTTCCCAAGGTTTCCTACCTATAAACCTGCTCTCCCAAACCCTTGACTTTCCTTCCGCAGCCATCACTGGCAGCCGCTCTGCTTGGCTTATTGCCTGTAGGCAGGGTTAATTTGGCAATGAGTAACTGTTCTCACCTGATGATTTACCTCCAAACTTAGGAAAAACCCTGTGAATTCCATAGCGCGTTAAAGAATCTCAAAGAGTAACATCACTGCCTTACAGAGCAAGGCAAAGAGTAACATCATTATCCCGTGCTTTTCCTAGGACTCCATTTGTCCTACTGAAACGTGGGAGGAGGAGTTGTCACACAACTCTCAGTGCTGCAAGGCCTTTGCCTTGCTTTTGCAGAAAGGTGGGCAAAGCTGACAGAATGCCAAGGTTAGCAGGGCACTGAGCAGTGTGACAAGGGTTTCTTGCATATTTAGTGTGAGTGCAGCATGGGGAACAGAGAGACCCTTTCCAATTGGAAAGCTGTGGCATGTTGAGGCCAAAGGGTTTGGTCGTCAGGTTGCCAGAATAAGTCCGTCTTCCAGATGCCTTCTGAGTGAGCAAGGGAGGTTTGGTCAGCATGGAAACCTGAAACTCCTGGGCTGTTGCAAGTGAGGGCTGCACTGTGCACTTCTCATCTAGTAGGTAACCTTGTTAAAAGTGGCTGAGGAGAGAAAGGTGCACTATTCCACTTGTGTGGGGATTGAACACCTCTGTCTCAGTCAAACTCAGCTGTGCAGGTCATGCTCTCTGTTGCCTGTCGGGATTCAGAAAAGCAAAACCAATGTTCAAAACTGAAGACTGCTAGTGGGAGGGTAATACCCAAAATTCTTTTATGCCAGCAGATGTTCATCTGCCTCCTTTTAACAGACATGAGCTGGATCAGTGAAACAGATTTGACCCCAGCCTGTGGCTTTCATGCAGAATGGAAGGTCTGGTTGCTTTGTAGGAAAACGGTTTGCTGAGAGATCTGGTCAAGTTGGAGGCCTCACTTCCAGCATGTTGTGAGCATTTGAGCTGAACACTGGTCTGTTTCCTAAGATTATTTCCAGGACTCTCCTTGTAGGATCCCTTTAGTGCATGAACAGGGAGGGATTGGATGCAGTCCAGAGCATTGCTTCCTACAGCTCATGGTGATCAGTTCTTTTATCACTTGTGTTTGTGATAAAAGGAGCATGTGAAATGGGCCTGAAGGATGATACCCTTGTCTCCCAGCAAGGAACAGCTGGTCCAGCTGTGTCCCAGTTCACAACAGTAGGTTTCAGCCTAACTCGGTTGCTATGGATCAGTGCTTTCCAGGCTGGGAACTCCCCAGCATGGGGACTCAGTTATTGTTGATGCATCTGTCTGTGCATTAAAAATAACTTCTCTCCCAGTTCCTTTTCTCCACTTTGGCTGAATAATGAAGGCTTATTCAACTACAGTGGTGTGTCCAGAGTGGTTCCTGAAAGCTAATCCAAGGAACCATTTAAGCCCACAGGCCTGAAAATGCAATCTAGGACAGGAGTTAGGTGCTGAAGTTCCCTCTGCAACACCTGAGAGGTAAGAATAATCCCAGGAGGATCGAGTTGCAGAGCAGTACACCCGTGCAATAGCATGGCTGAATCATACCTTGGGAAAGACACCCTCAAAGGCAAACAAGGAATGCCTAACCCAAATACACCATGAGCTTTGGTGTGAAAATCATCATCTACACCATGAACAGCAATCAAGGTAGGAGAAAGAGACCAAGGATTGGAATTGCTCTGGATTGTCTTTGGGAAGGGGGAAACCTGAAATCCCTGTTGAAATGGGTATGCACATCTGTCTCTTCTTTTCCATCTCCCTCCCAGTGTATGTGGAAAAGTCTCCTCATCTGTCAGGTGGTGGGGAAAAGGTATGGAATGCTCCTGTACCTCTTCCTGGTTTTCTGGGCAAAAGGGGAGGATCTGGGATAGCCCACTTACTGCAGACAAGTTAATGTAAATATACTCTGCAAAGCTGCAAGACAAAGTGAACCTTAGTTACACCAGACCAGACCTGATGCTCCCCTGTGTGGCCTGAGAGTGCTGAGAGGAGCATTTGGTCATTATTACGTTCCCTTCATCCCAGTCTACAAATTTCTAGAGGGCTGCTTTTTAGATTAACAGAAAGGTAACCTAAAATTATAAATTTGCTGCTGTTGTTAGAAACAGGAAGTGTGCTCTCCTGGCAGATGCAATAACTAGCTGGGCTCTGCAGTGTGGGCTGTGGACAGCAGAGTGCACTGCTCATGCAGCAGAGGAAGGCAGCACCCAGGCAGCTGCTGGGGGTGCTGGGGCCACAGCACCGTCCCGTTCCTTTTCACTGATCTTACTCCTTCAGCAGGTACAGCCTTAAGAGGGCATTTATTCAGCAATCATCTCAGGCAGGACTGCAGCTTTTGGGCAGTGGGCCAGGTGTGTGCACTGACCAGCCAGGCTGGAAGGCAGGGGCTGCAGGAGCTGGGAAACCCTCTGGAGAGCACACACAGTGTGCCATCAGCACGAGTGTGCCGTCTGCCCCCTCTCACTGCTGCTGAACATCCTCGTGTGCTGCAGCCACATCTGCAGGTACACTGTAGGCACATCCTGAGGGTGATTACAGCTGGTCATGTGGCAGGTTTGATCTCTAAAAAATAATAATTAAAAAAAAGAGCTTTCTGTGTGCACAGAAACTAAAAATAAGAGGTGTCATTTTTGCTCATACTACAGTAGCCATCTGCTCACATTTAGTTAGCTTTTTCCATACAGGGGCAGGTGAGAGAAATTGAGGAACTAACAGGTTTCCAGAAGGTCAGGTTCATGTCATGATACAAAGCTCTGCATTAGGGGGAAGAAGTGTATGCCCTGTTATTGCATGCTGGAGGGCTCTGGCAGTGACTGCTTGGCTCTTTGGAGCCAGTTTTGGTACAGCAGATAGTTGCTGTTGCACATTAGCAAGGAGATGTTCTGTGCTTACATTGCTGTGGTGCATTTTTATTTGACTTTTCAGATTTGCACTTTACATTCAGATGGGAGGATTGGCAGCTACTTTATGAAGTATTACAAGAAGCAGCCATAATTAGGACTGGAATAATTTTAGTGATCTGCAAGTCCATATTTGAGCATCTGGAAGAAACACAAAGTGTTCTTTTGCAGCCTTGGGTCGTTTTCTGCTAAGTTTTCTTCTGTAGTCACTTCAGAGAGGCAACAGGTTGCAAGATTTACTGATGCTGCCAGCAGACTCAAGAACTTTCCAGTGCTGTCCCACCATCTGGTCTTTAAACTTCATGCAAATAGTTCTGGTGGTTCCTGGAAGCAGTAGCTCCTGCGTCCAGTGGCACCATTTGGAAAGCAGCCAGCACAGCAGAGCCTTCAGGTGCTGTTGGAGACACACACAGAGGCTGAAGTGAGGAGTGATGCTGGAGCAGACAGCTCAGCAGCTCTGGTTGTCCAAGGGTGGATGAAGCTATAGGAGAAACCCTGCTCTTTGAAGGATTTGAACCATTCAAAAGCATTTGGAATATGGCAGCGTGCCTTAGTGCCTTAGTGTTTGTTTCTAAAATTTGGATCTGTTTTCTCTCAGACTGGGGGCAGTCCTGTTGAAAACCTGTTGAAATAATACCTGGCTCCAAAACTGCCTGCTATGGCCCAAGTCCAGCATGCCCTGCTCTGCTGCTGGCATCTGCTCCAGAGCCACACCAGCTGTGTTTGGCTTGGCAGGGAGCTCTCCTTATTCCCTCTCTCATGGGCTCAAGCTGAGACCATGGGACTGCAAACCATGTCCATCCCCTGTTCTTGTCCCAGAACTTTTATTTTTGAGGTCCTTGAGGACAGGCTCTGCATCGCTGGTGTCACAAAGCATGGTGACCTCTCGGGGTGAGTACACAGGGCCTGGTGTTCTTACCAAATCCAGTTTATGTGTGTCATCTTCGATCTGGAGCAACAATCCATACTGGTCCAGCAAGTACATAGCCCTGGAGACTGTCGGAAGGGTGACCTGGAAAGCCTGAGAAGGATACGCAGTGTGTTTGTGTGGTTTTTAAAGAATACATACATGCTTAAAGGTGACATCAACGTTCACAGTCCATGCTTGAGGCATTTCAGATGCCAAAGTCAGAACTCCTAAGTCTCTGAGAAACATCAGGTCAGGGGTGCATTGCAATGGTTTCTTTCCTCCTTTTCAACCTACCCTTCCTCTCCCTGCTTGAGCTGCACTGTCCTCTGCAGGTGCTGCCAGGTTGTGTGTTGGTAGGAGAGCACACTGCCACCGAACAGTGCACATACACCTGAGAAGGAGAAAAAGTGCCATTTGATCCATGTCAAATCCCACTTTGCAGAGCATTATTTTGTCCTTGTTTTTTGCAGAAACTACATCTGATTAGACTTATGCTTCTCTGGACACCTCCCTGTGGTACCTTCTAGCTGAAGCTATTAAAGTTGGTGTCAAGGCAGCCCTCAGGCAGTTTGGTAACTCAGAAGCTGAGACAGGAGAAGTTAAAACCTCACGTGCTGCAGAGTACCAAAACTAGACAGAAACTCAATCTGGTGCCTGCTGCAGCTGCACACTTAGGAAGCAGCACAAGCCAGAATTGCATCATGTTCACTTCTAGCAAGTTCAAGAGTTGAGGTGCCTATGAAAGGCTGAGTAAATAACAGTGCAGTTGGTTGAGCTGCCCAGGCAGGGTGAGCACACCATGGCTGGTATCAGTGCATGTCAGGACAGCCAGTTCACTCAGCTGGAGCAAAGTACCCTCAGGTGACTGTCCTGGGTTTTCCTCTGCTCTCCTTAGTCCTTAGAGGGGAACAGGATCTCAAACGTTAAGACCAAACCCACATGCCTCTGCTTCTCTGACACCCGAGGAGATGGATGACTGGCTAGGACAGGAGACAACAGAGCTGAACTTCGTGTAGATATTGGGACACATAAGTTGATTTTTCTCTCTAGACATTTTGAGCTGAAGTGATACGAATCTGAAACTATTCAAAGCCAGAATCACCATATAAAAATCATATTTACATACAACATCCTTTTGTTTACTCCAGCCTGTCCAATCTCAAGTTAGCTAGGTGGCAGAGGAGATTTAAGAAGAGAACAGAACTAAAACTGCACACAGGGTATTTGAGTTGAATGTGAGGTGCCTAATTAAGTCTGTGAGGTGCCTAAATATATTTCTAGAAGCACAGAGTCACAGAATATCTCAGGTTAGAAGGGACCCATAGGGATCATCAAGTCCAACTTCTTGCTCCTTGCTACCTCCAACCAAACCACATGACTAAGAGCATTATGCAGACTTCTAGGATAGGGTCCATGAGTTGGAGGTGAGCCTTTCACTCAATCCTACCTGTTCCAGTTTCTGTGCCACGGTTCTTACTGCCAGCCTTTTAAAGTGAGGAGGGTGTCTCACCCGGGGGCTAACAGGCACCGGGCAGAACTCTGCAGCAAACTCACTGCCATTAATCTCACACCTATTTGAGAGAAAGAACAACAGATATAAATAGAAATTAGGGCTTTGCTGATGAGTTAATTGGACAGTTAATACTACTTGCCCATCCACAGTGATGTTCCATCTTGGGTTGCTGTTGAAGTCTGGAGATGAGGCTACCCAGCAGTTTTCCAGGTATAACTCCACACTGGGGCTCTCGTCCTTCAGCTCCACCTCAAGGAACACAGGCTCCATGGGTTGTTTGAGTATTGCCATGCTGGGCCCATAGAACTCCATGAAGGATTCATCTTGAGAAAATGTCAGGGGGTTTTGTTGTTGTTTAATATTATTTAAACTAAAACATACTTGGAAATTATCTGATTTCCATAGCAGGAGATTTACCTTTGGACACTCTTGAAACTACATTCAGAGCTTGTCTTACCCTCCTGTAAGCTGCAGAGAAGGAAATTTTAGTGATGTTCTTTGGGTGAAAGTAAGGCATTTCTTAACAAGGGAACTTAGGACTGAAAGAGTCAGAGAGGTTTAAAAATGGAGGAAGAGAATTGCACACCTGCAATATTTGAACGTGGAAACATTGTCCCAGAGCCAAAGGGAGGGGATGTGGCTGGGTCCCTGGAGAAGGCACCAAGCACTAGGGTCTCTTTGGCTTGGTAGTAGCACAAGACTGCTAGTCTAGAATAGAAGAAACAGCAATTGTTGTGTTCACATCTATTTCCCAGCAGCTGTACAGAAGTGAGCAGTGTCAGCCAGCAGCAGCTCCTACCTGTAGTCTGGATCTCTTGTGATTGTTGGTATGCTCTGTCTTGGAAGAGTCTCTTTCTCATAAGAGATTTCATTCTCATAAATAATGTGGTCACCTTCAAACTATGCATATGGGAAGCTCATTGTAAATTGACTCTTCTCAGGAGCTGGGGCAGGGGACCAAGGGAGAAAATGCAGGAGAGGCAGAGAGTTCCAGCAGGTGTATCTGCTCTGGCCATGGACTTACCCTTACTGAAGTGCCACAGGTAGTGACATGGAACTTGAAGAAGGCATGGACTTCATTATACTCCTTAGGCTTGCAGGAGCTGTCCCTTAACTTGGTTTTACTCATGTCAATGGCAGGAACTGTCCTCATTTGGGCAGATACCATTATGGTACCATCCGGGTGGCAAACTGAGAAAGGCAGAGAGTTGGTTTGAGATCAAGAAAGAATCACACATTTTTGTTGATTGATCAGTGCATAACTTACTTATAAATGCTGAAGAATTAAAACTGCAGCTGATGGAGAACATCTGTAAGGTCTCCATAGTTCTCACTTTCCTTAGGGCAACATCAAACCTTGCTTTAATTTTCTGAAAGGACACTTCCTGTGAAGGAGGAGATGGAAGAGATCTGTTATCTCTTGTACATCATCCACATGTACTAAGCTTTGCTCCATAGCCTGTGCCACTTGAATATTAACAAGTGACAAGAGGTAAGTCAGTGTGAAGGCTCAAGCCTGAAGCAACATGAGGGCAGAACTACAAGTTTTCTTGTATGAATTTATCAGTCACTGTCACAGAGATAAATTTGGGCTGATTATTGTGGAATAGTTCAAATTATCACAGCATTAATTTCCCCCTGCCATGTCTTAAAATTTCAGCAAAATTTACTTTAAAAGAGCTTCTTTCATAAAAGCTATATTGAAATATTATTTCTGGCTCAATGCAGATGTGACATTTTGCCTCATCTTACTAAAAACACTGAGGAGTTTGTTTTTGAAGACTTGGTGCATATCTTTTAGAGACAAATGGGGACTGCAGATTGCACAATACGTGGCATTACCATAAGAGTCCATGTCTAATGCCTCTTATCCTACTTGCTCTGTCTCAGAGTCCTTCCCTCTGGAGGTTTTCCAATATGTGCAATACCTCAGCACTACAGGCTGTGACTGCAGGACTCTGTGGGAGCAAACAGTCATATGTGCTTTAGAAAAGTCATTGCTGAACAGCTCCTGTACCTCATAGATGAGTCCCCCAGCAAACAGAGGTATTTGCAGGATCAGGTGTGTGGAGTTGGTGGCTGCAAGGTACCCATTGGTGAGGGCAAGGTGCCGGTTCAGGAGCTTGTTACCAAGGTACAGGTCCCAGTACTGGTGCAAGCCAAAAGTGGGCAGGGTCAGATACAGGTTCTCTTCATCACAGGAACCAACTGCTTCTGGAACTACTGTGGGAAGAAGGTGGGATGAAGAGTGAGCAATGAACGAAGGTTTGATGGTGAGGTTTGGCCCAGGCAGGGATTTCTGTCACAGGTAGGAAACCCCTGCAGCCTGTTATGTGCATGCTGGCATTGTCTGCAGGGCTTGGCTGTGTTGCAGGGGTGTACCAGCTGACATCTGGTGGGATGGGGAGTCCTGCTTCAGCAGTGGCCTGCCAGCTTCCTTCCAGCACTGTTCCCTGTTTCAGTAAGGCAAGCTGAGTTATGCATGTAAATGCATTTTTTGATCGGCCTTCTTTGAGCTGAACCAAGAGCTATTTCAGAGATAAAATAGGACAGTGAGGAGACTGTCATCTTTGTGGCATGCAAAAATCTAATAAATTTGAGAAAATACCAAACAGAGCTTCTGACTGTTTCAGCAACCTGCTAAATACAGCTCTTAGTGGGTGATTTCTCCTTATAGAAATAATGTCTTTGGAAATTAGAGCAATGTTTTTTAGTCAGAACAAGTTCTGCCCTGGATGCAGAGGCAGAATTGTGTTTGAGGACAAACTGAAACTTGTAGCAATGTCTGAAAGTTTTGCCAGTAGATGTATGTTCATGTTCTGAGGCATCTTGTTCAGAGTTTGCAAGCCAACTTCTTCTACACGCTTGTTTTATTGCTCTTAGTGTCTTGGGGGCAGACTGTCTTGCCAGTATGCAGAAAAGCTGCCATCAGCGGAGCAGCAACTTGGCTGTTACCAACGATGAGCTGTGGAGGGGTGGGGTTTTCCCCAAAGCTCTCACCCTCACTCTGATGCTCTCACTGAATTCAGTGACAGCCATGCTGTTGATGCAAACCAGTTAATGTCAGGGGAAAGCTTACCAATATCAGCAACCACACACTCCACCTCTGCTGCCTGATAGTAGATTGTCATCTCCAGACCCACACTAAGGGTGTAGTTGACCAGGAGGGTGTATTTTGTTTCATTTCTATTCACATACTGAAAGAGAGAGAAGAGTAAGGCTGCAGCAGTTTTTGGAATAGGCAGGCATGTATATTCTGAACAACACTAAATAATTATTCCAACACCCTCCTCTCCCCTGCAAATAGCTCAGGCTCCAAAAGCATTGCTTCAGCTGGCCTAAAGCTATTCAGAAATCTGGCCTGGATTCAACTGCTCTTTCAGCCAAATATAAATGTTGTGCCTTTTCAGAAAATGAAGACATTGAAAATGAGCACAGTGGTGGTTCCTCTGTAGCCCAATGGTGAAAGAACTCAGAGGGAGATCCAGGTCCAAATCCTTATTCTTTACTCAGAGTATGGGCTGAAACCAGGAGAGTAAGTAATGGGTTGCATAGAAGGTGTGAGGAGATGCTGTGAGAGTTCCCTCTCAACATCCTCTTTTCCTTCACTAAAAGTGCTCCCAAAGCAAAACCTGGTGTTCAACGTGAAAGGACTACTTCTGGATTTTTCTTTTCTTGCTTTGATCCTTAATGCAATTTGACTGTGGTTTGACTGCAGCCTGAAAACTATTTGCACAAATCCTGTGCCTTCACAATGTTGTTTCTTGTAACAGCATCGCAGCCTTGCGTGGTTTGGTTGAAAGAGTGGTGGAGGACTTGTAGTTATACATCCTCTCACTGAAATGAGAGGTTGAAATCCCTCTGTGAGTATATACCTTTTACAAATATTTAGATTACAAATGGTCTGAAGCTTAGCAAAATTACATTTAGAGTACCCTGAGCCTGCCCGTAGCAATGCTCACATGGGGCATGGCCTGTGCCAGCAGCCACACAGTGGGCCCAGGAGTTACTGGATTTTTGAAACTGGTGTTTGCCAGCATCGCAATAATTGATTCCAAGACACTCCTGTTTCAAAGGGCAGCATCTAATACAGACTTGACAAACCTCTTCCTGCTGGATGTGCACTCAGACATTAGCCATGCTGACAGGCACTACAGGAAGTAACATTTCATCCCATCTAATTACACTTGATACTGATCTCCTGGAGATCTGTGGAGAGCAAGGTGGAGACATAAAAGCCTCTGATCTTAAGTCAGATGATCTCAGACTCACTGACACCTTTATGATCAAGGAACTGTTGGTTTATAAAAGCTAGACCATGCTCTGCAAAGGGACTGCCCCACCTCCTCCACTCTGCTGCTGAAGTGACCTGCTGCATCCTACCTCTCTCAGAACATATGGATCATCAAAAGAGACTTCCAGGATAAATGCTTTTGTTCCATTAGAAAAGGGAGTTTCATAAATCTTGAAACCGTGGTGCTGTGCTTCCCTCAGGGAAAATTGCACATTTCCTACTGTGATTGCCACCAGAGAGACATCGGGAAGAAAGTGTCCAAGTGCAACATTAAATAGCCTTTCCTCTGGCACAGTGTCTGCAGGGAGAGAGCATCAAATTACTGCTGATGTGGATCAAATAAGGAGGACGGTTGGGGTGGCCTCCCATTCAAATTCCAGGAAACTTAGCCAGCAGCCATCTCTTTAATGGCCCTGATTAATGAGTGTTTGTGTTCCAGTCAGATCTGAAATACTCTGAGTACATGAGAATTGCTTCAAGCTGCAGGGGATTAACAACAAATACATAGAACTTTACAGAAAGTGGGTTCAGTGACTTTCTAGAGGTGTACTATGATGTGCAATACCTTTAAAGAAATCTTGAATTTAGTTCAGTCACATAGCATTTGAAAAAATTATCATAATGTATGGTAAGAGGCTTCTTTTTCTTTTTATATCACTTATCCAGACAATTCCAAGTATCATTAGTGCCTTAATGCATTGAAACATTAAATTTAAAAACCATGACTGCAGCACTGGGTGGCACAATGATTTCAGTATACTCCCAAGGTATCAAATGCAGCAATCTGGGGGAGAAAATACAGTCAATGAATGCTGTCCTCAGACAGTTCTTCCCAGTGTGATAACTGCACATCACAACATCTTTATTCCAGTGCTCACTGCAAACATCCAGGCATTAACAAGAAAGGAATGTTTACATTTTTATCAGCAACTTATAAGTTAAGGCTAAAGGGTTTTTGCTGTTTTTTTTTTGTTTGTTTGTTTGTTTGTTTGCTTTACTATAGTACTTGAATCTTGACTTTGCCTAGAAAATTGTAAGTGGGAGTTGAGAACATTCTGGTGAATGTAGATGTGTGTTTGGGTGGAGCAACATGTAGCACAGCAGAAGATTGGTAAGGGTCAATGAGAGGAATTACTTACTGTTGATAACAGTTGGTATTTGTGGCGTGAAAGGGGTGGTGATGGATTTGATGACTGTATACTTCGTGGTTTGCCAATCTGCATCCGTCCATGTGTGCTCCAGAAACAGGTCAATGCAGTAAGTGACTCCATATACACCACCAGAAATGGAGCTCTAGGAGGTAAAATGTGGGATTAAGTCTTAATGCTCAGTGGCTTAATGAAGAGATGACTGAATATGGTTAAAATTCTCACACTAGGAAGAGAAAATGGTATTCTAGTACAGCTTGGGATGGATTTTGCTAGGAGATTTTGTTTGTTTGGTAGCTTGGCTCATTAGTCTGGTCCATGTGTGGCTCAGATACTGCTGAGATCCTTAATAAGGAAGTTGCAGGGGTGTCCTCATTAAGTTTAGCACATCACCGTGTTTGTTATGTTTTTTTGGTTTTTTTTTTTCTTTTTACCATTCCTGGATTGCCAGTCATGTCTCTTGTTCTGTCTGTTACACAAATAGAGAACTCTTGAAGGGGGTAAGTAAAAATCACACCAATGCCGTCTTGTAGGAATATTGCCAAGTCCCTTCTAAGTGTTCATGTTGGATGGAGTTTTGAGCAACCTGATCTAGTGCAAGATGTTTCTGCCCATGGCAGTGGAGTCTGGAGTAAATTGTCTTTAAAAGTGCCTTCCAGCCCAAACTATTCTCTTCTGTTCTACTGAACATTCCTTTTGACATTGTCTCTGTATCTGTAAATTATATATTGATGAGGAATAAACTGTGTTCCAAGCAGGTGACTGCACCCCAACAACATGCAGAGAACCTGTCCCTTGCTAAATCATGCTGTCTTGGAAACTGGCAGGGAAATTACTCATTGAGCCAGGCCAGTTTATCAGGACTAGTTTCATTATTGAGCAGCATAGACAATTAAATTCGCATGTCCAGAAATCCCTTCACTCCTAATGTATTAGTATGTCTTATAGATTATTAACTAAAGGCAGACTCTTGCTTCGACCATGTTTTGTCATAATAAATCCCTCATTCCGGAGTAAGTGTTTTCAAAACATAGAGAAGCATCTAGCTCTTCAAATATTTATTGTATCTGCAAATTTTAAGCAGCAGCCAATCAGTATTTGGATTTATCATGATTTGACACATCTGTAGTACAGGCCCTCAAATGTATTTGTGTGTGACAGGTTTTCACTAACCTCTAGCTTGCCCCCTTCTGCTCCAGTTGGGATGGTTATTCTGATGTGTGTCTCGTTGTACTCCAGTGAGTAGTTCATCTCCTCTGGATTCACTATGACTTGATCATCCACTCCCATGACAATGCTTTTGGACAGGAAGGTGGATTCCTGGACCACTAGTGTGGGGATAATTCTTGGCACAGTCCATGTTAGTGTGGTATCGGTGAAGCTGATGCCATCTGTGGAGTTAGATAGACAGTTCCAGAGAGGGGGCAATTGGAGTTACCACTCAGTCCTCTCTGCCTTTCCCTGATTCCATTTCACCAGGATATCTCTACAGCTGTCACTGATGCAACACCTTGTAGGACATTAGCCAAATGATGGCTATTTTGTCATAGACACCCTGGCAGTCGAAGCAGACCTGAATCACCAGTTTCAGGTGAATCATTAATTTATTCAGAAGAACTGGCAGCTGTGCTCCCAGCTACCTGCTCTGTTGTCCCAGGGCTTACTGGCAGAAGAAAGAGGGCACAGAGCAACCTGTTTGCACCTTCTTGAAATATTGGCTTCAAGGTCTCATCAACTTAAAACCTTGTGCTTCCTCACCACTTGTTCACATTAATAATCTCTGTGAGATTATAAATGGCTGTGAGAGCCAGGTGCAGCCACCAGTTTTCTGCGAAAAGCCAGGCCAGTCCTGACTCTCCAGAGAAAAGGATTACGTGAGTTTCAAGGATGCAGAGCTGCATGCCTTGCATGGAATGATATGAAAAAGAGGAGCCAAGGCTGTGGGATTAGTCCAGGGGAGGCTCCCTGGCTCTTCTATAGAAGTTTTTCTTGTTTCCAGTTCCCTGCATCTAATGTGGGGATTTGAGAAACCAGAGACATGACACTGCACTGGGAACACAAGTAATGTAGTGTCACAGCAGGGACTGTGTTTGTCCAGGACCAAAGCCACAGACTCTTAGCTCATGTTGTTCTGAGAGAAGCTTGTAAACCTCTTCTCTTAGTGAGAATGGGAAGACTGTGTTTTCTGCTACCTCCTCCAGTGGTTATTTTTAGCGAACAAGGAAGAGATCCTTACCAACAGGACAGGAGACAGTTGTGTCAATCAGCAAAAGCAGCCACCGCTGCCTGTACATGGAAGTGGAAGTGATCATGTTCATAGTTACACCACTGACCTGTTTGAGCCCAGGCAGAAAAAGAGAGCTGATGTTCTGGAGAGGCAGTGGGAACAGCAGAGCTTTGTGTCTGGCTGGGACCAGCAACTCACCACGCTGACATCAGACTCATTGCTGTGGTAGGGCGCTCGCAGGTACACCCGGGACAGGCTGTTATTGAAGCTGTAGCCCAGTTTTAGTGCATCACTTACTGTTATTCTCTTTCTCCCTGATGGAGAAACAAACATCAGTTGCCATTGCTGGTATGCAACATTTTGAGTCTGCAAGAGAGAGATGATCTATATCAGTTCTGTGTCTCTTAAAAAGCTGAGTAGTGATACTGTGGTGGCAGTTTCCCTGTTAGAAGTGAGAGTAACTGGAATGATACTGAGAGCTCATCTCAGGCAAGAAATACCCTTGAGATATATATATATTCTAGCACCCCTGGAAGAAACGTAGACAGGTGGCCTTGAACAAATCCACTGTGGACAAAATATCTGTGCTGTTAAGAAACTGATTGTCCCCATGTCTGTTGATTGCTGGAGCAGTCCAGAGGCCAAATGTCAGACTACCATTTATAGTGTGTAGCCATACTGTGTCAAAGATAAGGAGAGAGCAATGGCTGTGCTGGACTAGAACAGAGTCCCCTGCAGTGATGGCCACATGGGAGCACAGTCAAAAGGAAAATGAGCATCAGGAGCAAGTAAGACATGAGAATCATGGGACAAGCATTTATATTTGACAGAATCACAGAATGGTTAAGGTTGGAAGGAGCCACTGGAGGCCATCTAGTCCAACCTCCTGGCTTAAGCAGGTTCCCTATGAGCATGGTTTGTGTCCAGGCAGCTTTTGAATTTCTCCAGATGAGACTCCACACTTTCTGTGGGCAATCTGTTTCATTCTTCCTCGCATTCAGGTGGAACTTCCAGTGGATCAGTTTCTGTCTGATCTCTTGTCCTACTGCTGGGCACCACTGAGGAGAACCTGTGTCCATCCTCTTGATGCCCTTCCTTCAGATACTTGTGTGCTAAGATTCTCTCCTACTCTTTCCCAGTCTAAACAGGCCCAACTCCCTCAGCTTTTCCTCATAAGATAGATGCTCCTGTCATCATTTCCCACTCATTCTTTCCAGCCTCAAATATTTTTCATCTCAGTGACTCCTGAGCTATCTGTACCTTCTTTGTATTTTGTATGTCTTATTGGATTTCTCTTCAGTCAACTTTTCCAGACTTTCCTTGGGATCAAGTAAGGTTTTAGCAGCCACAACATCTTTTGGTGATGAGTTTGACAGTTTCATTACCCATTGTGTGAAGAACCACCTACCTTTGTTTGTCTTGAGCTCAGTTTCCACTAATGGAACAAGTGTATGACTGTTCTCCCACCTAAATATCTTTTTTGCAGTCTAGAGGTCTAAAAATACTTGAGAGGTTTTCAGTACTTGACGGCAAATTTGTCATCTCCCTTTTTTTTTGTCAGAGATGGAGTTATGCCCCAAGAATGACTCATAGGAGCAGAGAGAAGAGGCAGGCTAGAACTGTTAGAAAAACTCCCCTTCATACCTCTGGCAGTGCTGACATCCATGCTACAGTGTAGTCATTTGAAACTGCTGGGACATCAGTCTTCACTGACACCTGGGGACACAGGAGATTCTTTGGGAGTAATGGGAGTAAACAGATCTTCAGTATTATTACAGGCATGGGGAATAATCTATCTATCAGGATATAGCAGTTTGCATTCATTAGAGGCAATTAAAGTGTTTGCATGCCGGTTCTTGATGGCAGTAATTTTTGTGGCCTTGAAATGAAAGTTAGTTGGCCTGGGTCTCTCCACTGGAGGTGTAGGAAAGCAGGTTATTGGCATTAACAGGACTGGTTCTCTCTTCCCATGCAGGCTGAACACCTGAAAATGCAGCATCCCCAGTACCTAAGGTAGGTGCTGTGGTGTAAATCCTTCCCACATGTGCTGCAGAGTGAGGCAACGAAACAGGACAGTCAGAAGACACCTGTACCATGATTTAATTGTGTTGCAACCCAGACATGACTGCACAGCCTTGAGTTCTGACAGGAGAAGTATGTTTTCTTTCTCCCGCCTGTTGCAGGCATGCACAGAAAGCAATGAAATTTGGATTGTTTGCTGCCTCATTTCTACACTGGTGTGTAGGTGATGGCAGCAGGCTGAGCACCCCAATTGCATCACAGGACAGGAGGCAGCTCCTGTCTCACAATCATGTCCTGTGAGTTGTGTGATTCAGCAGAGATGCAGCTCTATAAACTCTAGGTTTTATTATTTTAGATATGAGGATGACATTCTCACAGCTGCAGCACTTTATGACCAAAAGGGACTCTCATGAGCTTAAGAGCTTGGCCTTAAGTCTCTCTGTTCATTTTCTTGCAGAGGCTTGCATCTGTGCAGTTTACAGACTTCATCTGTACAGTTTACTGAGTTTCACTGCATACAAAATATTTATGGCATGTAAATGTGTTACTAATCAGATCTGCAGTTACACACTATGCTAAATATCAGCAGGTTGCTATTTGGCCTGGTACATGGGGTACAATCAGCTTCTGACAGGAATTTGTGGAGGTTGCTGTTCCTGCCAGGAACAGCCTCTCCTTCAGAGCGAAGGTTTTTACCTCCATGTAGTTTTCTTCACACACAATTTCTCTTGAAGCCCAGGATGCATAGGAGCAGTACATAGGGTAGGTGTAGGTGACAGCTCCCCTCATGCTTGAAAATGAGGAGACTTTGATGTTCACAGTCAGTGAAAACAGCTCATCTGCCTGGGAAGAAAAACTGGCAATTCAGCAGCTGGTGTGGAAGGTTCCAGCAGCGGCTGCATGGGAGCATGCAGCCCAGTGTTCTGTTTCTGAGACATTTCATAGTGATGAGAACAGCTTGAGAACTCGCAGTAACAGCTCCTACAACCAACATAGCACCCTGTCTGCAATGGTTTGTATGCAGGGTCTTACTGAGCCAGGGGCATTGCCTCAGCACTCACAGCCTTTGTCTCAGACCCCATCTCAGCTCTGTTCTTGCCACACTGTAAAGGAGCAGATGGTCAAGGGCAGACCTGACCTACCTTACTGTGAGATTCATGTTTCTCCTCTTTGTGACTCTGTGTGTCTCCACACAGAGAAAGTACTGGAACTTTTGTTTTGATCTAAGTAGTTCAGACCTAATCTACAAATGCTATTTAGTGTTTAACACCAGACTAAGTCCAGTAAAAAAATTCCTTTTGGTTCTTCAGCTCCCCAGAAGCCACACACAAAGCCATGGATTTCCCTTCTATCTGACATAGATGTGTATTTTTTACAGAAGAAGGCAAAACCTTTACAGAGAAATTTCCAGCCTGGAAATCCAGGTCATTGCACACTGTACACCCCCATTCTTGTTAGCTAACTCTGCCTATAAAGTTTTACCATATTTTTTCTGTGGGGCTTCCAGGACTAACCAGACTAAACATGGACAAGCAATGAAGTTTCTATTCTGATTTGTTCTGGTTTTGGGTACATTTCATCTCAACTAACATTTAGAAATTAGAAATCCAGGCTACACTTTTACACATATTTTTGGAAGGGGTGAATCACCTTCTGGAGATGCCTGCTTCTCTCCATTGACTACTGTGGAAGAGCAAACAACTAGTTTAGACTAGACATTATCTTTTAGATGGCTAAAGTTACGTGAGGCAAATCTGGGTCTAATAGACGTGTGTGATCTACGTTCCTAGGCATGTGTTAACAGGCACATTACCACACAAATTAGGCCAGGAAATGATCTGCCAGAATCATACTGCAAACATTGCTTTTTCAAGCAGATGCCTACTTCTTTCCAGAGAGGCTTTCAAGAAACTCTCTGGCAAATCAACAGCTACAAGGATATGCTTGAGAACTGGCAGCTACTCAGCAGCATTAGGATAAGTGTCATTCCATGGAGAGAGGAAATCCCATGTCAGTCACACTGAACAAACCTCCCAGCAGAGAGCCATTGCCTATTCATTTCCACACTACACTCCCAACACTAGTTCCCTGAGTTCAGTATTCTCAAAACATGCCATTAGAATGCCATATACTATCTCCAATTTGTGTTTTTGGAGAAGATGTACTGCCTGAGCTGCTTCCCAGCCCGTGTCTGGGCCTTACCTCATTGGCCACGTGACAGCCGAGCACCGAGGCACGGAAGACGGGATTGCCCCACACGTCCTCTGACAGCACATAGCCACAGCGAGAGGCCAGCTGCTCATCCAGCAGAACTGGGCCAGAATAGGGATCTGCAGAAAAAGGGAGAGACATGGGGGATGTAAAGCTCAAGGCAAGTCTTGGGGCAGAGTGGTGCTGAGGCCCACTCACACAGCTCTTTGTGTGGGTTGGGAGCTCTCCAGTGAAATGGCTGCTAAGGAGCTGGTGACACTGGGCTGGCATGAGACAGCTTGGCATGACTCAAGCTCAAACACATAATGTGCACTTCAATGCCTGTTTCCTTGCATCCAGAAGCTTGTGCCATTGCCACTTTGAAGTGCTATTGGGAGAGTTTCTCTGAAGCATCGCCTTCATTTCTCCCTCCCTGATTTTGGTCTCTAGAAAAGTTATGGGCTATTAAACCCATCTGTTTCTAAAAATCACCAAGGTGGGATAATCTGCTGCCCACTCTGCTCAAAGGATGTGGTCACAGATCTGTTTTGGGTGGGCACTTTTACATATTGATCAGGTTCGCTGCTTCTCTCTGTGTGCTGTGAGGCCTATGGGGGAGCCAACAAGAGACATGACTGGGACTGGCCGTGCTCAGCTCTTGATGATGGTAGAATTAATAACAGCATATTTTGTTAACCAATCTGATTAAGGAACCATTTTAGTCTTGGGTTAGACACAAGAATCTGTACAAACAGATAGGGTTTAACTAGCTGCCACTGCAATTTCTAGATTTGTCTGTCATGCCTATATGTTGGACAGTTCTAGAACTGCTGTTTCAGTAGATGGATGCCTGCAGGCAGGAGAGGCTCGGGAGATAAGTGGGAATAATTTTGGAAGAAGAAGGAATAGCTTTTATGACACCAGCTGATAGAGCTGGAAGAAACAAACAGCATTTTGTGCCTGAAGGCTGGTCTGTTTTTTCCAGCAGTATCAGTTACTCTCATAAATGCTATCCCTTCTGCCCACACCCTTTTCCGCACTCTATTTTTTTCAGTTCTGCCTCCAAATCAAATGAAAAAAAACATAACCCAGAGAAGAGTGCGCTGATCTCAAGAAAAATTAATTAGGTTTGGGGTGAAATCACATACTTTTCACAATCTGATGTGAACATTTTCTGGTTTTCATTTTGGTTCCGAAGGTTTTTGTTTTCTGCAGAAAATGGAACCCCTTTGTCCAATCTGAATCATGGTATTTAAATGCCCCTGTGGTGCTAAATAAAAAGGAAATAAAGATACCCTCCAAAGTGCTTTAATTGCTGCAGTACTCACTCAGCCCTCATTGAGAGTGTGTTTTCTGAGTATTACCCATCCTACACTGCTGTTGTCATTATGCCATTCAGGGCATATCCAGTCTGCAATGTTGCCTTTGTTTTCCTTGCTGGACATGTGTAAGGGCTCAGCAGAGGGAAGAATGAAAGCCAAATGTCAGTCCTTCCTCCTCAGACCATCCTTTCTCCTTTCCCAGCACTGTAGCAGCACGGGGCAGAGGGGCTGTGGCTGTGGTTACCAGCTTTACTCCTCTGCAGGGTTAGTGCCCAAATTGAGGTGGGAGAGGCTGGCTCAGGGTGACAAGGATCTGCTGCACGTTCCTTGGGTGAGTTACCAATTATCAATAGATGGCAGCAGCATCCAGGTCACAGGCTCTGGGATCTCTTAGGTGATTCCCCAGCCTTCATGCTATTCAGGGCTGCCACTTGTAACTCACCATAGATTTCCAGCTGGAAGAACTTTCCCTGGAGCAAGAGTTTATTCAGTTTCATCCAAAAAATTCTGGAGCGGCAACTGCTCTCCACAAAACCTAGTGGGAGCACATATAGAGCTGATGAGTCAGTGGGACTGGAGGGCAGAGAGGAGGCACATTGTGTTACAAGCAAAATAACGGAGTTCTCATCCTTGCCTCTCTCCCCACTCTGTTTTTATCATGTTTCACCAACCTGGGGGAGCCATCCGCCTCCCTTGTCCCAGCCAGAACAGGAAGAAAAACAGCCAGATCCTGCAGTATAAGCACATGAGCTAACAATAGGCAGAACAGAGAGAAAAAAATAAAAGATCAAAATGGAAAATTAGGGAGGTGGAAACCAAAGTCTTGTTACCTGTGTAGCAAGTGACCCACAGCCTCCATCTGTCCCCAGGGACCTGTGCATGGGCAGCAAAGTCCTCCTCCCTGTGAAGTAAAGCAGACCCAGGTGTGCAGGTGGATCTTGGTCAGACCCAGGAGCAGGGGTACAGGTTACCTTTCACAGACTGTGCTGTCTTCTCCAAACCTTGTGTGTGGACCAGGAGAGGCCAGTGGCTTCTGTTGTGGAAGGACACCTGGGTGGAATCCTGCAGTGCCCTCCAACGTTATCAGAGCTCACTCCCAGCAGGGGAGGCAGCTCCCTCTCTCTGGGAGGGCACAGCACCCTCCTGCCAGATATCTGCAAGGTCAGAGGCTGCTGCTGAGCCCAATTGTAATGAGTACAGCAGACTTGGTGCTTTCCATCGACCCCTGGGAAGTATTCTCATTCCTTACGAGCCAGTTGGGTAGCTCTAGCTTCAGGTCTTTAGAACACATGAAACATTTCTCCAGAGGTGTTTTAATTTGGTCTACACAGGAAATATATTTTTGTTTCTGTGAAATGTCTCAGTGACCCAGTCATGCCAGAGATAACAGCAGTACTTTGGCAGCTGCACATTTTGCTTTTGTGGATCCAGTTAGGTTGCCCTTTGATTTGTTTGATTATCAGAGAGTGTTTTGGTGAAAACATCTTGTTTTCAGAAGTGCTGCAATATCTCTGTATCAGTCAGACCATGTGCAGGTCTGTAAATGGCCAAGCATCTTGCCTGGGAAAGTCTTTGCTCATAATGGGAGTTGTTTCTCTGGGACTGCAAGTGACCCAGGAAAGAAAGGCTGAGAAGCTTGGACAGCTGAAAATACAGCTTGTGTGGCATGGATGAGACAGGGCAGGGTGAGGAGTACAAGAGATTTAGGTTGACATTTTAGCCATTTCAACCCAGAGCTCAATTTCCTTTTTGCCCCCATTTCGGGCCATTGACCAAACGTTCTTACCTTACTTTGTTTCACAGGCATGAGCAGAGCTGTGCTGTAGAGCAGATAGTTGTTGCTGTGCACTTCACACCACTGTGGGATAAACAAAAGCCAGTGGGCTGTGTGTCCCAGGACACAGTGCAATCAGTGTGATTTCTGCCTCTCCCAGAGGACCTGTGCAGTAACAGCAGTGCCCCACCACTGCCCTGCCAGACAGGCTCACTTGGCACAGCATCAGGGAACAGTGGCACACATCTTGCGTGAGTGCTCTGGAGTGGAGCGCCAGGGCTTTAGCAATCTCCTCATTAATGTCCTTTGGCCACAAGACCCTTTCTCATTCAGTGGGAGCTGAAGTCCAGCTTCTGCCACAACTTCTCGTGAGCCCAGGCAGGACTGGCTGCGTGATCCTGGCCCCGTTACTCTGCGTCCGAGTGACTCCTCATTGGATCCAGCTGGAGCTGGAATTCTGCTGGAAATGGCCGTACTCAGATACCACAGTGATGAGTGTGGTGTAACAATGAGATTTTGAATTTTGAGTGAAAACTTCAGTATATTTGGATAGCAAACAGTTCCAATTTTGATAAGCCACTTCCAAAAGACGTGTAGCATCTCCCTGAGATACTGTGAGTCAGGGTCTGAGGGAGCCATGTTTGACAGAGCATGATCACAATTTATTAATTAGCAGTCAACTGTCAGGGCAGGTACACAACTACAATTAGCTGCCACAAGCAGTGAAACAAGTTTCTGCATATTTGGACAACCATCGTGATTACTGTGTTTCTGGCATTAATTTGGTTCTAAGTGTGACAGAAGTGACTTTGGATGTGACATAGAAATTGTGGTCAGTGTGTAATAGCCAGCTCTTGGCCTCACTGTCAACTAAGCAAAGTAAAGCATGTTCAGGTCAAATGCTTTTGGCTTCCAAGGATCCCTTAAGTGCTGTGGAAAGCATTGTTAGCACAGGGCGTCTGGAAGCATCAGCTGCTCATGGTCCCTAAAGTTCCTCTGGTACTCATTATGAAGGTAGGGAGGATAAGCCTATGTGTTCCAGGTTGTTTTATTTGTCTACTCAGTTTTCCTCTCTGTTTTGGCTGCACAGGAGCACCCATCCTAATGTTCTTGCAGGGTAATAAACAGCTGCTGCATTTCAGCTTCGAGGTGATGGCATTCTGCAGTGGATAAAATGATTCATGGCTTGGGTTCTTTTGAGCTGAAAGGTACTGTTTAAATGTAATGTTTTGGTTTCTCTTTTTTTCCTGCATGGGTCTGGACCTGGGCTTTGTATTATATAATGTGTTAGAAGGTTTAAAACCAGCCACTTGGAGCAGCACCTCTCCCAGTGAGGCTTGCTTTCAGTGGTGGAAAAGGCTCCAGCCCTTTTGAGTCACGGTGTTTGTGTCTGTTTTTCTGTGGCACTGAAATCCCCAGGTTACATGAATACTACACAAAAATATTTTTAAATTTTTCTGTCTCAGGCCTTTTAACGATAACTTTATTTCTACAATTGCTTAGAACCAAATTGGTTAAAACCAAATTTTAATGATACCTTTATTTCTACAATTGGTTAGAACAACAAAGGAAGTTGGTATTGGTTGGGGTTTTTTGTTAGTTAGTTTGTTTTTTTCTTTGGTTGTTTTTTTTTCTCCCACTATGTCCTGTGTGTTGATCTGAAGTAAGCCTCATCATTTCATACTTAGTCTGAATGTGGGATATAGTAAAAAGGCACTCATTATTGGACAAAAAACCCAACAAACTAGTGAGCAATGGGAGAGGGAATGGGTCAAAGTTCTGTTTTAATGTATCAGAAGCAGATTGACAGAATCATTAAATCACAGAATGGTTTGGGTTGGAAGGGACCGTAAAGATAATCCGATTCCAATCCCTCTGCCATGGGCAGGGACACCTTCCACTGGATCAGGTTGCCCAGGGCTCCATCCCACTTGGCCTTGAACAATTCCAGGGATGGGGCAGCCACAACTTCTCTGAGCAACAGTCTTTGCTTATATAGAATCTTCACTTATGAGTTGGGAAAAGCCAATATAAGGTATCTCTGCCCTCCTCATCCTCTTCCAACTACAGGATTGACAAACATGAAGTAGAGATAGAAATATTTTTATGTCAGTGTTTCAGGCTGCCCAAGAAGGGAAGACGTGGCTGTCAACTAGAGACAGCCTCTAGATAATCTTCAAGGAGATGCGAGATGTTTCTCCATGGGAAAAGATATGCCTTTGAGTAAGATGAGAATTAGATAAGCAGGTTGTGAGTCCAGAAGGTGAGAAATGTGAATGGTGTAAAGCTTTATCTCTGAGAAGGGTTTCTCAGGGTGTCTGTGAGACAGAGATATGCAAGTGGCCTCCACCTGCAGGGCAGCATTGCTGTTCTGGAACCAGCTTGGTGACCTTGGCAGGAACATGAGCCTGAGCTCTGCTCTCACCCACATGCACCAGGAGCTTGTAAATGCATTCAAAAGGCTCTTGAATTCCCAGGGTAAAATAGCATAGAAAGATACCTCTGCTTGAACTTCATACTGTGGCACAAGATAATCTCAGTGATTGATGTCACTGCTCTCTCTGTCTTCATATGTACATTCTTGTTTCAGAGGGTTGAGGACTCACTTTTCTGTGCAGAGGGTGCAGGGAAAAATATACCTGTAAGAAGCAACTTTAGAAAAATCAGCTGAAAGAGGAAATTTCTTCCTATCCCCGTGAGCAAGTAGTTGGCTTATGCTCTGGACTATGAGAGTTTACATTCCTCATCTGTTATTGTTAAAGTATTATAATAATTATTACTATTATTGTCTGTATAATGTGTGTTTAGAAATTGCCCTTGTGTTTATGCCATTTTTATCTTTAAAACATACCACACTTAAATGCATATGAATTCCAAAAAGCAACTGTTGCTATCATTGCATGCCACTAAGCCGTTAAAGTGGTGGAAAAAGCACAAATAAGCAGACTTGTACCTTGATGGGCTTTTAATTTTTTTTTTTAACATGCAATTGGTGTTAATTTCTCTGTGTCTGCAATGTTTGTGTTCACTATAACTGAACAATAGAACTTTGTTTTTGTTCTTTGTGTAAATTAAAAACATCTGTTCTCTTTATATGAAAAGTTGTTTTTTAAAAGAAGCTGGTCTGATCTAACTAAATACCAATGCTGTGTCCACAATGAGTTACTATTAATATTTGGGAAAGGCAACCATCCAAAGCAAGTGTAATGTCAAATCACTGGCGGGAGTGCATATTTATTGCTCGAAGTGACAGATAAAAATTCAGAGGTTACAAAAACAAAATTCTTGCAGATGACTAATGATGCATATATATGCCCCCAGTGCCCCATCACCACATTTGCAATTGGCAGGGTGTTCTCCACTGCCTCCTGCTCTCCAGGATTAATCACCTAGAGACTGGTAGCTTGGCACCCTCCCTGGAGGAGCGACACTGCTCCCACCTTCCCTCCGGCGGGCCCTGCATGGAGTGACCTTTGGGGCATGCTGGAATCTGATCCATCTATTTCATTTGTCTGACTTTTCCCCCACCTCTCTCTGGTATTTGACTGCATGGGTTCATTTTATGCTGAAGGCACATGATATTTTTCTGTGCAGGTGGAGGAGGTGGACCATGCACTCACTGCATGTTTCTGTGGTGCCTGTGACACCAGCATGGTGGTGGTCTTCAGAGCTGACTGTTCTGGTGTGAAGGAGTTGGAATCCCAAGACCAGACTGTCATCTTACTCATCAGGAGTAGTCCTGCATTAAGCAGGACTGAAGTAGCTATTGAGGATGTTATTTCAGATAAAAAAAAAACCCCAACACTATTTGTCATGATCTGCAGTAGCAGAACTGGGATCTGAGAGGTTCAGCACTTTCACTGCCCAGGTGACCATGGAGCCTTGTCACTGTTGTATTTGAGCATCTCAGAGATGATGAAATTGTCCTCACAGGCAGATGTCTTCAGAAGGACAT